TATAACTGAGGTATGAATAAAATTTGAATTGGTTATTGAACACGTCTCTGCTATTCATTTCCAATTTCCAGAGCTCTGAATGAGTTGGCAAATATCCATCATCCACAAAGGGCCCGGGCTGATTTTATCCCCAACAATGAGCATTCACAACATACCTGATGATACAAATGGTGAGACACCATATGAAAAATGTTACATGTTTTTCACTGACAATCATATTTCTGCACCTGGGAATGCTTAGAACCATTGGTTCTATTAGAGAAATTTAGGATTTTGTTTTCCAGTCTACCTCACCATGCACCACTAATTTTTTCTTACTGTTGGCCAGCTTGTCCTGGAGAGGGTGACTCCGAGAACTTTTACTACAGCGAACAATCATAGCCAACAGAGAACAGTAAGTTTTGATATTTTACAACCTGCTAAATACTTACAGGACTTTCACAGAACCACTGACTGATACAATGGATGCTGTTAAAGATGACAAGATAAAACAAACAGAGGACGACAGAAATGCCACCAGAACACAGCCACCAGAATCATAGCCACGTAACGGACTGAATCATGATCTGACATCTGAACCTGCAAATGTGAAGGAGAAGGATGAACAGACAGGCGTGATACATTCACAGTTAACATGGAATATATGAAAAATGAATCATCAACATCATTATCAGAAAGACTCCGAAGAAAAAAAGACTGTACCTGAATTATCTTATACAGTAAGAAAGAAATGCAAAGATGCAAGCAAAAGGATGCTAGAAAATTGGTTATGGTGTCTCATTCTTACAATCTGCAGCATTATCATAACATCAACCTTAGCTGTCGTTTTAAAACTGCATTGGAATTATGTTAAAAAGCAGGAAGCACCTGGACTGAATTGGACTGCACACTATACAATTTCTTTGATCGTGAGGACTACCTCCAAGAACCATCTCAAAAGGAGGGACACAGCTCACAGTGAAATGATTGCTAATGTGACCTACACTGGTATTTCACAAGGAACCTATTGGGATCATTCCAAAAACCGATTATACACAAGAAAGATGTGATTGGACTATTACAAATCCTAATAATGGACTCAACGGTGATGGCAAAGCATGCTGCATTAGATGCATTCCTTAGCACAGGCTTGAGTTAAGAGAGAAAAAAAATGTGTCTTTTTGTATTCTGTTACAAAATGGACTCACCTCTGCTATAATGGTGACTTACATTATACATTTTTCATTTCTATCTAAACACTAAATGTCTGCCAGTGTAGATACCCTGACACCACAGGAGAGCGAAGCAAGAAGCCATCTTGGCAGTAGTACAGGGAGAGCACAGCTGCAAAACCTCTTGCCAAATTTAAGTGTATAATATTATCTTTTTCTCTCCCCTAATGGCTCCAGTGACTGCATGAAGTCTGATTATTCAAATATATAATTAATATATAAAGCCAGGAAAGCCCAGTGGTAACAAGGGGAGGGGGACATTTCTGACACAGAGCACTGTGCTGCTAGTCACAAATATATTTTAAGAACTCACACTGCACATACCCATCTTCTTTAAAGTGCTCAGTAAATCTATAGATGAGACCTGAGCCTATCATGCTGTGGCTAGCTGAACAGTTGTGAATCTTCAAACTGCATGGCTGAGGCTGTTTTAATCTGTAATGATTGTTGCTTCTGTTAACCAAGTCAGCTACATTTTGGCTCTATATTACTACTGCAGATTAATTATACTGCCAGTTGCAATTATACTGCCAGTTGCTGAGAGCTAAAAGTGAAAAGAATAAACAAATCAGGAGTAGCTGACATTGTTGGAGTCTATCAGTATCTTGATGCTTTATCCATGTGCACACAGTGTGCTGATTATATAATGGAGTAGCTGGCATGTTTCATAACAGCAACAATATTCATGAAAGGAGAGATAAGAGGAAAGATCATGAAAGGAGAGATAAGTGGAAGACTGAGAGAGAGAGCTGGAGTATTTTACTGAAAGACAGTGGGCATCTCTGTATTGCAGCTCATTATAATCCATCACAGTGATCCTGGCTGTGTGGAACAGTTATGTTATCTTCTTATTGTGCCCAGTGCTGTGTGTTATTTCTGTGAATTTTACAAAGCTCTACCTGTTGTATGGGTCTACCCAGCTCTGTGTATTTTATATGTATCATTTTGTTTTGTACACAACAACAAAAAAGAAGCCACAGGCACTAAGCACTGTGGCATATATGTATGGTGGCAATGAAGGAGTTAATCTGTTTTGTCTAGCATTTGAATGTGAGGAATTGTAAATCTTGTGGTAGTTGGTCAGTTAGACAGGTATCTAGGTAGAATTGATGACACAGCTATTTCTGGGTGCTGAAGCTGGCATGGGATTGGCTGAAAGTTGCAAGCAGAAAAAGAACGGGAAACTGGAACAGTATAAAAAGAAGCAGAACAAGTTTAATCCTGTCAGAGCGGACTGAAGCAGGAACGGTGTGAACAGACCCCACCCCCTCCCTTTACTTTTATTTTATTGCATTGTTTTGGTGTTATGAAGCATTGGGGCGAAAGTCATCCTCAGGATCAAGGTGGTGGTAAATGGTTTTAAATAAAAGGCAGTCAGGTTAGTTATGACTGACTGGCTATTTGGTGGTTAATAAAGTTAAAAGTTTTTAAAGTTGGTGAACCATATGTTATATGGTTAGGGTTAAGGTTACAAAGTTACAAAGTTATGGTTACAAAATTATGGTTGTTTGCCCCTTGAGCTTTGAATAAACACCACGGCCAAGCCCATTGAAAAATAATTAAACATTGTCTGTGGTTATTGTGTGGTCTCGTTTTATTTATACGAATATTGCCTACTATACATTTCACAATTCACGGTGAATATAACATTAAAAATCTACTTATCTTAGAAACAACAGCTTCACAGGGTAACTGTCCCAGTTGGTTATCACAAAAAACAAGTATTTGTAGGAAGAGAAATGGGATACAGCTGTGTAATCTGAAAAGAATGTATTAACAGAACCTAGTGTGATATTGTCACAAATTAATAAAGTGACACACTTATTAAATTGCCTTCACAGAATGTATAGTTTTAAATCGCCTTAAGGTTAGCAGTGGGGGGGTTACAAAGACCTCCTCTCTTTCACTGATGTTTGAATCCAGGAACTGAGAGAAATAATCCAGGTAAGTATAGGAACATGGTGTACACACAGTGTAGGAGATTAATAATAAAGACCACCACTGGTGGGCACCTTTCTAACACTTATTCTTATATGCATGTACTGGCACTTTAAATGGTTAACATTAGATTGTTATATGCAATGATCTTGAATTACATATTTTATGAATTAGTCTAAGAAGAATTTTTATTAATACAATTTTCTCTTCTCCCCCTGACTCTCTGTATGTATACTGTCCATACTGAGTTGTTGTGTTGTGAATAAAGATGGACTTATGGACATTTGCAAAGGAAGGGCATTTGCCCAACTCTAAGATGGACGCTACAGAACTAACAGCAGCAGTCTGTAAACACGCCCAATCTGTGACGCGATACTTGACGTTCCGGGTCACGTGGGGCGCCCTGTAATCGGAGCATTATTACCTTCAACGGACGCAGCTGTTTACAATGGGCAGGGCAGCTCTGAGAACGGATTGGAGGAGGAGATAATTGAATGACCAAACAGAAGGAAGAGCATGATATTTAAACAACAAACAGCAGCAAACACATGACCGACTGAGAAAGCTGTCACAGTACAGCGAAACGCGTCTTGGCAGGAAGACTGGAGATTCTACTTCAAATTTTATATATTCATTTGTTTATTTTTTGTAAGTTTTAATTTACTCATTAAATAAATTTTGTTTTATATTTGGAATCCATCTTCCATTTTGCTGCTTAAAGAAGGGTGGCAGCCTCCTTAAAGGCACAGATAATAACACACCAGGAGCCAGGTATTGGGCTCCTTATCAGGTGAGAAGCCAGTTTTCCTAATATTAGGCACTGAGTACTGGGATTTATTACACTAGGGGATCTTTGCTTCCCCTTTTTCTTCCTCTTATATATGCATAAGGATCTTCTGACGATTAAAGCATCGATTGGGTACCGTGTCACCATAAGCACACGCAAGCCGTTGAGATCTGAGCCTATCCTATAGGGCTCTGTTACATTTGAGTGAGACATATAGAACATTCACTCACTGGATTTATCACAAACGTTACTTGCACTATTTGCACTTATATCTGTTTCAGATACACTGTTGTGTAATACGTTCCTCATACATATGTATGTCAACCCATATGGGTGAGTCTGTATATATTTAAGCGCTCCACATGCACACCAGTGGTGGTCTTTATTATTAATCTCCTGCACTGTGTGTACACCTGGTTCTTGAATTGATTTATAGGGAAGAGAGTCCATATTTTCAGTGGTAGCTGCTACTATTGTTTATTTTACTATTGACTGTAAGCGCCTTGAATACACAGATTTCTAATTGCTTTTGTGAAGTATAGGAACATATATTATACAAAAATAAACAATATAAAGTTAAATTAAATTAAAATAGACAATAAGGTATTGAGCTGAGGTCCTACAGGTTTCGTTCGTAAAAGAACTTCCTCAGGGACCTCAAATATTATAACAAACACAATCAAAGTAATTAAATACAGTTAAAAAAAATGCATGAATTGCTCCCTCCCCCAACTCTCATTATATAGGGGCAGTTCCTCCAGATCACTCATACTCAGCTGTGAGCACTTAATGAATATTCTCTGTGTTGCAACCGCTGCCCTGTATCTTTTAGCACTTTCCACGCATTCTGTCTCAAACTGTTTTCAAGCACCCATGGCACTAGCCCCTTACTTGCATATAACTTGTGGGAAATTCAACTTATTCATTAACAATATCAAGTCCATCCATACTTTAAAAGCATTCATTGGCTCTGCGTGTTCACTGACAACAATGTATGTGTTCTGAATATTATTTACAAAGTCAGTCTGTGTTGCTTTATTTATTGAGTGCAAAGAGAGAACATTGTCCTTTACAATAATTTTTCCCCCCAACTTGAATTTTTTTGATTATCAAAATGTTCAAAGTTAGCAATCATTACATTGTGCAGTAAATACAACGCGTGAGACAACATGTTGACATTACATATCAATATGTTCAGTGTATACATTCATGTCATTAAGTAATTACATAGTTCTGCAATCTGAGTGCAGGTTTCTGTGTAAATTGTAGTGTGTCAGTTATACGAATAGTGCCCACCAGTGTACTCCACATGTTGCAGTAAATAAATGTAAAAAGAGTAATACGTAAAACCAAAAGAACAAAAAAGAACACATGAGCAGTGGGCTAGGTAACTTTGACTCACAGTGGTGTACGTGAGCTGATGTATTTTACCTGCAGTGTGTAACTTCCCAGGGAAACTGTTCAGTTATGTGGTTGTAGTTTATTAAGTGTTCTCTGATTGCTTGGATATGTAATCTGACCATAAGCGTAGCACCTCTTTAGTCGCTTTACCCCTATGGAGTTGGATCTGGATCATACCTTTGTAATCTAAGTTTTGTTGTTTGTTTAATTAGACAATTTATTTTAATAATACTGTAGGGATAATTGTGGAGTAACATATTAAAAATAATATTTTGTTTAAATTATGAAAAATTATTTTCCAGATAATATGGCAAAAAAATAAATTTAGTTTGTCTGTGTACATAATTCCCGGTATATTAACCATGTTTTTTAACTATATTAACCCTTGTATATAACCACTTCTAAATATATCTAAATATATATGAGTGATAAAAGTGTGATCTATAACTACAATTGTCAGTTTCACTAACTGTCATTTTCAATAACTTTCATTAACAGTATTTATATTACCCTAAATATATGTAATGCAACAATAGAGGAAATTTAGGGCCCAAATCACTCTGTCCCTTTTTTTACTCTTAACTCCTTAATGACTGAGGCAGTTGTACAAGTTGTGATAACAAAAAATGTAAACATAACTTTGAATTTGCACTATACGTCTATTCAACCAGAATTCACCTCTTTCATATTAAATGCACCCACATTTATTATATATAATTTTGTTCAGGAGAAACAGGGTTTTTATGTCATATCAAATATTTATATATGAAACAATTTAATATGCATAAAATATAAAACTAATTAAGAAATTAAGAAATGTTATTTTTTTTAGTTCTGCATGGAATTTTAACTGTGAATAGCATAACACTGTTAACTGTTACTGCAATAAAATACACATATTTGTATTCACTGATGTCTCACGAGTAAACCAGTACCCCAAATGTACATGTTTTATGGTGTTTTGGAAAGTTACATGGTCAAATATAGCACGTTACAGTTTTCAGTTTATACACATTGAAATTTGCCAGATTGGTTATGCTGCCTTTCAGACCAAATGGTAGCCCATGAATTAGAATTATCCCCATGATGGCATACCATTTGCAAAAGTAGACAACCCAAGGTATTACAAATGGGGTATGTCCAGTCTTTTTTAGTAGCCACTTAGCCACAAACACTGGCCAAAGTTAGCGTTCATATTGGTTTGTGTGTGAAAATTGCAAAAAAACAAATTTTAACGCTAATTTTGGCCAGTGTTTGTGACTAATAGGGTAAGGTAAGTGCATAGGACGGCAGGGATATCCTTAGGGGTTTAATGGCCCTCTTTTGTCCATATAGTTGCTGTATCTGAGTACATAACAGAGGTCCACAGCAATAATGTGTCTTTAATCTACAATAAACGTCTTTTATAATTCAGTCTGTGTAAGTAAAATACATTGGTTTTTTTCTCTAAATTACATTTTAGTTGCATAAGCCGTTTTTACTAATTCACCTAAAATTTCTCAGAACAGCCCTGCCACTGGCCACACCTCTACTCACACCCCTAAAATAAAAGTGTCCCTTTTTCTCCATTTAAAATGTTTGGAGGTACGCTGTAGTGCCCCTTTACACTATTCTGTGGTAGCAGAGAATGACTCTGATATTTCTTCTGGTGCGAAGTCCTTCATTCTAAAATTTACTTTATTCCATTTGTTGAAATATTCTTGTTTTCCATTTTTGCTTTCCACCACAAACTTATCAATTTTTATCAAAGGGATGTCCTGAAAGTTGTGGTAGGTGCCAGAAATCCCCCAATCTTCTTTGCATTGTGGATTATTGCAGAATATCTTGAATTTCTTTTTATAGTCAGAGAAACCAAGTGGCTTTTTATGAGGTTTTGTAAAATAGCGTTCTTTGAAGGTGCTATCAATCACTGTGTGATGAGATTTCTGTGGGCAAAAGGAAACAGTGAATTGTTAAAGGAACACAATAGGATCAGTAACAAAATGTGTTACTAGCCCCCCTGCCCACCTAAATATAGTAAAATCTTACTTGTATTCAATTCTGCAGCTGCTGCCTCTGCCCCTGATCTGCCTGATTGGCTAAAATCATCAGAAGTTATTTTCTGAGCCAATCACAATGCTTTCCCATAGGATTGGATGAAACTGCCAAGGAGGCAGATCAGGGGTAGAGCCAGCACAAGTCAAACACAGCCCTGGCCAATCAGCATCTCCTCATAGAGATGCATTAAATGAATGCATCTATATAAGTAAAGTTCAGTATCTCCATGCAGAGGATGGAGATAGTGAATGACACTGCCCCAGGAAGCACATCTAGTAGCCATCTGAGGAGTGGCCAGCGGAGGTATCCCTAGGCTGTAATGTAAACACTGCATTTTCTCTGAAAACAGTGTTTACTGCAAAAAGCCTGAAGGGAATGATTCTACTCACCAGAACAAATACAATAAGCTGTAGCAGGGGCGTACTTGGGGCATTTGGCACCCGGGGCGGATCCTATATTTGCCCCCCCCCCCTGCAGCTTAAAAATGTAAAAAACACCCACAAATGTTTTAAATGTATTTAGCACTGAGCAGTCAGGGCCGCCATCAGGGCATGACAACCGTAACGGTTGTCATGGGCCCGGCGGTCCTGGGGGGCCCGGACTGCTCAGGTCGTCCGGGCCCCACATTCAGTGGGTACATACCGGGTCGCAGGGGGCCCGGTATGTACCCACCCCTGAAAGCCGGCCGGCGCGCGAGGGA